TAAAAACAATAATTTTGAACTAAATAAATAAATCAATTAAAACTATCGAAATTAATTTAAAAAAGAAATTTTTCCCCTTTTATTTTTTTTGTAATTGGGGGGGGGGGGGGGGGAAAAAGAAAGAAGTGATTGAAAAAAAATTTTTATGGGGGGGGGTTTAATAATACGCACCCATATTATTTAATATATTAACTTAAAAGAAAAAAATTGTAAAATATCAGTGCCGCAGTTTTCAATTTGACGAGAGTTATTAAACGATAAAAATCTTCAAGATACAGTGAGAATCAGCTTTAATATGAATGAAACAACATCTTATACATCCAAGTATCAATAGATTTAAAAAAAATTGTTCTACCCAAAGGATTAAATAATAAGTGCGCATCACATTTTGTTTATCAATAAATATTATTATTATTATTATTTTAATCTTTATATCCGACACGGGCACGGTTAGGGCAGGAGTAAGGTTGATTTCGTTAGTGGCACTTTAATATTTCATGTGAAGTTGATAGAGCCCCAAATAAACGTGGCCATGATTATCTAGTTAATTCAGACAACAATGATTTATTTCTCATATAAAATAATTAGAAGACATGTAACATTCAATCATTTCTATATTTATTACGAACCGGGTCATTCGAATCAATCATGAAATTGGATCATTTCACGTTTCAGTACTCTGTGATCCGTGAGGTCCGCAGATATCGGTCATCGGACATTAGTACACTATTTGGTCAAAGGTCTCATACGTGGTAGAGCCACGCTGCAGCTATACTATGGTTGTAGCACAAATGGGTCGGCTCGAGTTATTAATAATAAATAATAAAATAATATTATAAAAATAACATAATTGCAAACTATGTAGGTATTTATTTCAAGTTCTGTTATGCTGCAACTGTATTAGTGTATAGTTATAGCACGAATGGATCGGTTCGACCAGGGAAGGACCACGATTTCACAGAATACCAGCGTAAAATAGCAGCTTAATACTGATGTGTTTGGTATGAAAGAAAAGAAAGAAAGAAAATACTACATGTTAGTCCTCAGGGGTGACAACGCATCTGCGTTTTGATTGTTAATCGAAGATAGATGTAGATGTTTATGGGCCACAGCATCCACTTACCATCAGGTGGACTGTGTGCTCGTTTGTCATCCGTATTCTGCAAAAAAGGTCATGTCGATCGTTTGATATGGATCGTTCAAAAGATGTAATTGCAATTATCAATACTTTGATACGGCCCGGGTCGAATGAACGAATCATTCACGATTGACACAGCACGAATGCGAAGTCGCAGGTATTTTCTTCTACTTCTTTTTCTTCGCCAGTTGGTAAAACTCCACAAAGGCCTCTCCCAATGTAGGGAGGATTTTACTAATATAATTTATAATCTTCACTTCCGGCAGGTAGATTCACTATCGCAGTATTAGAAGTCATGCATTTCAATGCTTTTTTCTATTCCCGATCTAGGTATTTTACGAGATGGTTATACCAACATCTATCGGAAGCGATAGAAGCTTTTGTGACATTTCAGGATTGTCTCTTACGGAAAAAATAGAACAAATGACAAAATAGGAAAAATAGAATAAATTAATTTTAAACCCGCCACAACACATAAGAATAAAGTAGAACCTGTATGTATATACTTACTTAGTCAGGTCATAAGTTCTGTCAAAAACTTTTAATAAAATTAAACATCTAGCAGGGGGGACGCCCTACACTTTGTCTGCCGGTTCGAGGCTGCCACTCGAGAACCTTTCTTCCCCATCGGTTGTCCGTTCTTTGAAGCTATATAACCAGCCCATTGTCACTTCAGCTTATTAATCCGTTGGACTATATCAGTTACTCTGGTTCTACTGCGAATATCCTCATTTTTAAGTGTATCATGCAGAGAAACCGAGCATAGCCTTCTCCATAGCTCGCTGAGCGACTTTTAGTTTCCTCATACGATCATCACTGGCAATACGCACTAGATGTGCAATCTTGTTTTTAGGTTCTGAGGCCTAACGAGAAGATGTCTCGTAATCTCACCAAAGCTTCCCAACCGATTTGAATCCGTCGATTGACCTCTCCGTGGAAGTTGGACCTACCTCTTTTTTACGGGAAAAACCTCATGGACTGCCTCTGCGTGGGGAAAGGGTGTGCCGGACTCTTACCGGCTAAAACCACCCCGGTGTCTCCTCAAAAGGGGGCGCGAGGGGCCGCGGGAATCCAAATTCTTCTGAAGCCCCACACTAGTGCTGGCCCGGTCTGTACGGTGTTCAACTACCCCGTGTATCACCTCAGAGGCGCGCACTGACACCCGCGCGTGCCTCCGCCTGGGGTCCATCGAATAGGGGGGCGGGGGCTTCCCCAAGTCCCTCGCCCCTGGACCCATTCATGGGGGCTGGAAAAGGGCGTTGTCCGCCCTTCTCCTGCGCCCTAAACGACAGGGAGCCGTGCCTTCTCCTAAGCCAGTCATCGAGTACTGGCCGGATCGCCTCGACGATAGCGAGGCCGGCGGTAGGTCGCAGAAGCCTTTGCAGCCATTCCGCCATCAAGATCTGACGGTGCCCGCTCTTCCTCGTGCCATCGATATAACGACGCGAGTACGTCCACCTCTAGGTCCCATGGCGGGGATACGGCCAGGACGCAAGCCGCCTCGTAGGAAATCATGCGATCCCGGCCGGCGACGGCCATCACCCTCTGCGGTTTGCGCAGAATGGCGGGAGTGCAGGCTTGTCCATGTCGGCCATGTCCTGTCGGCATGTCCATACACAGGGGCCCCATATAGGGCCAAGTTATACCCCCCCGAACGGGTTCCCGCCTTGTCGTGGCGGGGGGGCTTAGTAGCCGTGGTTTGGTCTCCCACGGTAAACAAAGAGGAACCCACGTGGCTGGCCCGAGGTGAAGGGCCGGCCTGAGGGTGGCCACTCCGAGTGGGCTTGGGGAGCCCACTTCGGATGTGTGCTGGTGGACTGCAGCGAGTGGGGACTCCGCACCCTCTACCGCTGCAGCCGAGGTGGAGTCGCGGAGGAAGAGGAGTGTTGGTATGGCGATGCGCCACTCGCCCTATCCTCCGCGACTCAAACGGGGCCGCACCGTTGATGCGGTGGTGATGGGGCTGCGGGGGGAGAGGATTGTCGGTATTATGAAGCGCCGCTCTCCCTATCCTCCGCAGCCGAATCTTGGTTGGCGGCGGAGCCATAGACCAGATCCGCCGCTGGGGTCGGGAAGGCTAGTACTTCTAAGTGCTCGTTTTTCCTGGCCCCATGGCCTTCGCGCATCGGACGCGGGCGCGTCTGTTGCGCAGATGCAATTGGAGGCCGTGGAGGAAGGCGTGCTATGTGTTTTGGTGCGCCTTACTTGGGAAGGAGAACGGGGAGGAAATTTCCTCTCCCGAGGAGGTGCTGCCATGGGGCGGCAGTCGCTGGTAGGGCCGCGGAAGTGTGCGAAAGCGTTCCCGTAGCCCTGCCAATATGCGACGAAAGTGGAACACCATGGGGTTTTAGTCGGTGCGAGTCCGACATAACCCGTCCTTGCCCCCGCGAGGCGGGTATGCGTAGGCATTTCCCCATGTTAAAAAAAAAAAAAGGCCCCATATAGGGCCAAGTTGCACTTACCTATTCGGACTATTTGTTCCAGATAAACGTACTCGTCAACAACTTCGAGCTTAGTGCTCCCAACAACTGCAGGCATAGGTATGACTGGACGTTACACAAGACTTTTGTTTTATCCATGTTCATCTTAAGACCTATCCGTTGGGAGAGACTATTGAGGTCATTGTCTATAGTGTTTAAGTCCACTTTTATTGAATAATTTTTAATTCAAACCAATTCAATCGGGAATTCGTGATAATTTCGTATTCGCAAACTTCAAAATATATACCCTTGTATGAATTGGCAGAAAATATGGTTTTCCGAAACGTCGTACCTACTGTCAAAATAGGAAAGGTCTTATTTACATACATAGATATTAAGATATTTCCCCATTGAACAATTTAAATCTTGTTGTATTGTAAGCAATGGCTGCTAAGTGAATTTGTGAAAAAAATAAAAACTTCGGCTATTTTTCCACGAATGTCTACCGCAAGTATATATGAAAACACTAAATGGAAGAACTCTGTACTATAAATATATTCCACGCAAACTTGTTTACTGTTTGCGTTTAATCCTTTAATCTGCCAAGTATCCTCACTGTGGCGGTGTTTGTAACAATGGTTATTAGTCGCTTGAATAACAAAAGTATTTCTACGCACTTTATCCAAAGAAACTAAACAGTATGTTTGTGTCCACAGTATTATTGTTTAAAGTAACAACACACGACTACCGGGTTTGTTTGCGTTTAATCCGTTTGTGATGCCGTTTCTTCGATGTTTTCATAATAGAAACAAACAGTTCGACCGACCTTTAAATACATGTACTTAGTTTTTGCTTAAACTTTCATTTTAAGGAAGATTCTATCAGTTTGTAAAAATATAAAAATGTAGTTTTTTTAGAATTTACTGATAACAAGCATGTGATCCATACTGATATTATATCGATATATGAAAGTTTGTAAACATGCTTAAGTTTTTGATAATTATTGCATTAAATATCACACTAATCTGGTTAAAATTAAGTAATCTACAGATAAATCGTACATTGGTTGAACACGTGCGACACTTTTTATCCCGGGAAAACAATAGTTATTGCGGTAAAATGAACATGAATAATTTTGTACTAGGTACTTACAAAAGTGATATTTTGAACTTTAAATGTCATGAATATTCATATTTATTTAAAAACTAGCGATCTCTTTTTTTTTCACTTTTTAGATTTCTCAAAATGAATCTCCATGTTTTCAGATAAAATATAGCATCGATCACCATCTGTTCTGCTCTTTATCTGTTCTTTGAATTTCATTACAGACGGTTCAGCCATTTCGAAGATTAGCACGGACATTCAGACAGACGGATAGACGGAAAGACGGACAAACGGACAAACGGACAGTCAGACAGACGGGCAGACGGACAGTCAGACAGATGGACAGACTGACAGTCAGAGAGACGGGCAGACGGACAGTCAGACAGACGGACACACGGACAGTCAGCAAACGGACAGACGGACCGTCAGACAAACGGACAGTCAGACAGACGGACAGTCAGACAGACGGACAGTCAGACAGACGGACAGTCAGACAGACGGGAGAAGGACAGTCAGACAGACGGGCAAACGGACAGTCAGACAGACGGGCAGATGGACAGACGGACCGTCAGACAAACGGACAGTCAGACAGACGGACAGTCAGACAGACGGACAGTCAGCCAGACGGGCAGTCAGACAGACGGGCAGACGGACAGTCAGACAGACGGGCAAACGGACAGTCAGACAGACGGGCAGATGGACAGTCAGACAGACGGGCAGACGTGCAGTCAGACAGATGGACAGTCAGACAGACGGACAGTCAGACAGACGGACAGTCAGACAGACGGACAGACGGACAGTCAGACAGACGGGCAGACGTACAGTCAGACAGACGGGCAGACGTACAGTCAGACAGACGGACAGTCAGACAGACGGACAGTCAGACAGACGGGCAGACGGACAGTCAGACAGACGGACAGTCAGACAGACGGGTAGACGGACAGTCAGACAGACGGACAGTCAGACAGACGGACAGACGGACAGTCAGACAGAAGGACAGACAGACAGACGGACAGTCAGACAGACGGACAGACGGACAGTCAGACAGACGGGCAGACGGACAGTCAGACAGACGGGCAGTGAGACAGATGGACAGTCAGACAGACGGACAGACGGACAGTCAAACAGACGGGCAGACGGACAGTCAGACAGACGGACAGACTGACAGTCAGACAGACGGACAGTCAGACAGATGGACAGACGGACATTCAGACGGACGGGCAGATGGACAGTCAGACAGACGGGCAGACGTACAGTCAGACAGACGGGCAGACGGACAGTCAGACAGACGGGCAGACGGACAGTCAGACAGACGGGCAGTGAGACAGATGGACAGTCAGACAGACGGACAGACGGATAGTCAAAGAGACGGGCAGACGGACAGTCAGACAGACGGACAGACTGACAGTCAGACAGACGGGCAGACGGACAGTCAGACAGATGGACAGACAGACATTCAGACAGACGGGCAGATGGACAGTCAGACAGAAGGACAGACGCACAGTCAGACAGAAGGACAGTCAGACAGACGGACAGACGGACAGTCAGACAGACGGGCAGACGGACAGTCAGACAGACGGGCAGACGGACAGTCAGACAGACGGGCAGACGGACAGTCAGACAGACGGGCAGACGGACAGTCAGACAGACGGGTAGTGAGACAGATGGACAGTCATACCGACGGACAGACGGACAGTCAGACAGACGGACAGACGGACAGTCAGACAGACGGACAGACTGACAGTCAGACAGACGGGCAGACGGACAGTCAGACAGATGGACAGACGGACATTCAGACAGACGGGCAGATGGACAGTCAGACAGAGGGAAAGACGGACAGTCAGACAGACGGACAGTCAGACAGACGGACAGACGGACAGTCAGACAGACGGACAGTCAGACAGACGGGCAGACGTACAGTCAGACAGACGGACAGTCAGACAGACGGACAGTCAGACAGACGGACAGTCAGACAGACGGACAGTCAGACAGACGGACAGTCAGACAGACGGACAGTCAGACAGACGGGTAGACGGACAGTCAGACAGACGGACAGTCAGACAGACGGACAGTCAGACAAACGGACAGACGGACAGTCAGACAGAAGGACAGTCAGACAGACGGACAGTCAGACAGACGGGCAGACGGACAGTCAGCCAGACGGGCAGACGGACAGTCAGACAGACGGGCAGACGGACAGTCAGACAGACGGGCAGTGAGACAGATGGACAGTCAGACAGACGGACAGACGGACAGTCAAACAGACGGGCAGACGGACAGTCAGACAGACGGACAGACTGACAGTCAGACAGACGGTGTCGTAAAGCGACAGTTAAAAAACTAAAGAACCTATCCTAACAATGAAACAACCAAAAAAAAATAATTTATTTAAAATTTGTAAAGATATTTACAGCTTTTTTTTATATAAAAAAGGTATGAGGGTGATGATGGGCTGTAGTGATGATAGTGAATTACAATTTTTTTTTTAAAAAAAGAATAAAAGTTAATAAAGATAAATGAGTACGGAAACAATGTATGTACAGGCTATGCGGTGCGGTGCGGTGCATGCACAGCGCCTAATCTAAGTACACGCAGCGCTTGAAGTAGGCACACACAGCGACCAGAATGAGCACACACAACACCCGGAGTAGACACACACAGCGCCTGGAGTAGACACGCAGCGTCTGGAGTAGGTCCAGCAGCGTCTGGAGTAGGTACACACAGCGTATTGAGCAGGTACACGCAGCACTTAAAGTAGGCACATACAACGCCCGGAGTAGACACAAACAGCGCCCGGAGCGCTGGAGACACGCAGCGTCTGGAGCAGGAACACGCAGCGCTTGAGACAAGCACGCACAGCGGCCGAAGATAGCGCGGGCACTAATAGGTGGAGGCGTAGGCGCGGCTAGGCGACGACTTCAGGAGAAGGCAGAGGCTTGCAAGATCCCGAGGCAGTGCGGATAAAGCCTTTAAGAGGTGCTTCTCGTATCAAAGCTGAAGTGAGAACCTCTATTCGCCGATTCCTCGGCTTTTATACTTTTGACGGATCTGGGATAAGAACGAGAAATTATTTGAAATTATTTAAATTAAAAGCAAATTTTTGTAAATGGCCAAGAAGAAAAGAGTATTTTTGAAGTAAAAACATCAGGCCGGTAACGATATTCGATTAAAAATTGCCATGACAACCAGATAAACAACGATGTCAAAACATGTCAAATTTTGGTTTTAGGCTCGTAATAGAGAAACGGCAAGATTTAAGTGAAAAATTAGATATTATTGATATAGGAAAAAAGGTAGCGCAACAGTGCGCACGAAGCCCGAAATTGCAGAGTTACGGAGATCTAAATAAAATACCGAAAAAAGGTAGACTCCATTGACACCGATTTAAAAAGTGCTGATAACGTGAAAATACGATGTGAAAATGATTTGTTATTGTGTTCTTATGGTTTAAAAACGTTACAGGATCCTATGAAAATAAAGGTGATGCAAAATATCCAGTTTTGAGGCTAATGCAGAAAATCAAAAACAGAATGGAAAAATAAATTTAAAATAGTGTAAAATGATATGTAAGTAGCATAACACTACAACGGGCAGACGGACAGTCAGACAGACGGACGGACGGACAGTCAGAAAGACGGACAGTCAGACAGACGGGCAGACGGGCAGTCAGAAAGACGGACTGTCAGACAGACGGGCAGACGGACAGTCATACAGACGGGCAGTGAGACAGATGGACAGTCAGACAGACGGACAGACGGACAGTCAAACAGACGGGCAGATGGACAGTCAGACAGACGGACAGACTGACAGTCAGACAGACGGGCAGACGGACAGTCAGACAGATGGACAGAAGGACAGTCAGACAGACGGACAGTCAGAAAGACGGGCAGACGGACAGTCAGACAGACGGGCAGACGGACAGTCAGACAGACGGACGGACGGACAGTCAGAAAGACGGACAGTCAGACAGACGGGCAGACGGGCAGTCAGAAAGACGGACAGTCAGACAGACGGGCAGACGGACAGTCATACAGACGGACAAACGGACAGTCAGACAGACGGACAGACGGACTGTCAGACAGATGGGCAGACGGACAGTCAGACAGACGGGCAGACGGACAGTCAAACAGACGGACAGTCAGACAGACGGGCAGAAGGACAGTCATACAGACGGACAGTCGGACAGACGGACAGACGGACAGAAGGACAGTCAGACAGACGGGCAGACGGACAGACAAACAGACAGACAGACGGACAGTCAGACAGACGGGCAGACGGACAGTTAGACAGACGGACAGTCAGACAGATGGACAGAAGGACAGTCAGACAGACGGACGGTCAGAAAGACGGGCAGACGGACAGTCAGACAGACGGACAGTCAGACAGACGGGCAGACGGACAGTCAGACAGACGGGCAGATGGCCAGTCATACCGACGGACAGACGGACACTCAGACAGACGGGCAGACGGACAGTCAGAAAGACGGACAGTCAGACAGACGGGCAGACGGACAGTCATACAGACGGACAAACGGACAGTCAGACAGACGGACAGACGGACTGTCAGACAGATGGGCAGACGGACAGTCAGACAGACGGGCAGACGGACAGTCAAACAGACGGACAGTCAGACAGACGGGCAGAAGGACAGTCATACAGACGGACAGACGGACAGTCAGACAGACGGGCAGACGGACAGTCAGACAGACGGGCAGACGGACGGTCAGACAGAAGGGCAGACGGACAGTCGGACAGACGGACAGTCAGACAGACGGGCAGACGTACAGTCTGACAGACGGATAGTCAGACAGATGGACAGACGGACAGTTAGACAGACGTACAGTCAGACAGACGGGCATACGGATATTCAGACAGACGGACAGTCAGACAGACGGACAGTCAGACAGACGGGCAGACGTACAGTCTGACAGACGGGTAGTCAGACAGACGGGCAGACGGACAGTCAGAAAGACGGACAGTCAGACAGACGGGCAGACGGACAGTCATACAGACGGACAAACGGACAGTCAGACAGACGGACAGACGGACTGTCAGACAGATGGGCAGACGGACAGTCAGACAGACGGGCAGACGGACAGTCAAACAGACGGACAGTCAGACAGACGGGCAGAAGGACAGTCATACAGACGGACAGATGGACAGTCAGACAGACGGGCAGACGGACAGTCAGACAGACGGGCAGACGGACAGTCAGACAGAAGGACAGACGGACAGTCAGACAGACGGACAGTCAGACAGACGGGCAGACGTACAGTCTGACAGACGGATAGTCAGACAGATGGACAGACGGACAGTTAGACAGATCAGTACAGTCAGACAGACGGGCATACGGATATTCAGACAGACGGACAGTCAGACAGACGGACAGACGGACAGTCAGAAAGACGGACAGTCAGACAGAAGGACAGACGGACAGTCAGACAGACGGGCAGACGTACAGTCTGACAGACGGGTAGTCAGACAGACGGGCAGACGGACTGTAAGACAGACGGGCAGATGGACAGTCATACCGACGGACAGACGGACAGTCAGACAGACGGACAGACGGACAGTCAGACAGACGGACAGACGGACAGTCAAACAGACGGGCAGACGGACAGTCAGTCAGACGGACAGACTGACAGTCAGACAGACGGGCAGACGGACAGTCAGACAGACGAGCAGACGGACAGTCAGAAAGACGGGCAGTCAGACAGACGGGCAGACGGACAGTCATACAGACGGACAAACGGACAGTCAGACAGACGGACAGACGGACAGTCAGACAGACGGGCAGACGGACAGTCAAACAGACGGACATACGGACAGTCGGACAGACGGACAGTCAGACAGACGGGCAGACGTACAGTCTGACAGACGGATAGTCAGACAGATGGACAGACGGACAGTTAGACAGACGGACAGTCAGACAGACGGGCATACGGATAGTCAGACAGACGGACAGTCAGACAGACGGACAGACGGACAGTCAGAAAGACGGACAGTCAGACAGATGGACAGACGGACAGTTAGACAGACGGACAGTCAGACAGACGGGCATACGGATAGTCAGACAGACGGACAGTCAGACAGACGGACAGACGGACAGTCAGAAAGACGGACAGTCAGACAGACGGGCAGACGGACAGTCAGAAAGACGGACAGTCAGACAGACGGGCAGACGGACAGTCAGACAGACGGACAGACGGACAGTCAGACAGACGGACAGACGGACAGTCAGACAGACGGACAGTCAGACAGACGGGCAGTCAGACAGACGGGCAGAAGGACAGTCATACAGACGGACAGACGGACAGTCATACAGACGGGCAGACGGACAGTCAGACAGATGGGTAGACGGACAGTCAGACAGACGGACAGACGGACAGTCAGACAGATGGGTAGACGGACAGTCAGACAGACAGGCAGACGGACAGTCAGACAGACGGACAGTCAGACAGACGGGCAGAAGGACAGTCGTACAGACGGACAGACGGACAGTCAGACAGACGGGCAGACGGACAGTCAGACAGACGGGCAGACGGACAGTCAGACAGAAGGACAGACGGACAGTCAGACAGACGGACAGTCAGACAGACGGGCAGACGTACAGTCTGACAGACGGATAGTCAGACAGATGGACGGACGGACAGTTAGACAGACGGACAGTCAGACAGACGGGCATACGGATATTCAGACTGACGGACAGTCAGACAGACGGACAGACGGACAGTCAGAAAGACGGACAGTCAGACAGAAGGACAGACGGACAGTCAGACAGACGGACAGTCAGACAGACGGGCAGACGTACAGTCTGACAGACGGGTAGTCAGACAGACGGGCAGACGGACTGTTAGACAGACGGGCAGATGGACAGTCATACCGACGGACAGACGGACACTCAGACAGACAGGCAGACGGACAGTCAGACAGACGGACAGTCAGACAGACGGACAGACGGACAGTCAGACAGACGGACAGACGGACAGTCAGACAGACGGGCAGACGGACAGTGAGACAGACGGACAGACTGACAGTCAGACAGACGGGCAGACGGACAGTCAGAAAGACGGACACTCAGACAGACGGGCAGACGGACAGTCATACAGACGGACAAACGGACAGTCAGACAGACGGACAGACGGACTGTCAGACAGATGGGCAGACGGACAGTCAGACAGACGGACAGTCAGACAGACGGGCAGAAGGACAGTCATACAGACGGACAGACGGACAGTCAGACAGACGGTCGGACGGACAGTCAGACAGACGGGCAGACGGACAGTCAGACAGAAGGACAGACGGACAGTCAGACAGACGGACAGTCAGACAGACGGGCAGACGTACAGTCTGACAGACGGATAGTCAGACAGATGGACAGACGGACAGTTAGACAAACGGACAGTCAGACAGACGGGCATACGGATAGTCAGACAGACGGACAGTCAGACAGACGGACAGACGGACAGTCAGAAAGACGGACAGTCAGACAGACGGGCAGACGGACAGTCAGAAAGACGGACAGTCAGACAGACGGGCAGACGGACAGTCAGACGGACGGACAGACGGACAGTCAGACAGACGGACAGACGGACAGTCAGACAGATGGGTAGACGGACAGTCAGACAGACGGGCAGACGGACAGTCAGACAGACAGGTAGAAGGACAGTCATACAGACGGACAGACGGACAGTCATACAGACGGGCAGACGGACAGTCAGACAGATGGGTAGACGGAAAGTCAGACAGACGGACAGACGGACAGTCAGACAGATGGGTAGACGGACAGTCAGACAGACGGGCAGACGGAAAGTCAGACAGACGGACAGTCAGACAGACGGGCAGAAGGACAGTCATATAGACGGACAGACGGACATTCATACAGACGGGCAGACGGACAGTCAGACAGAAGGGCAGACGGACAGTCAGACAGACGGGCAGACGTACAGTCTGACAGACGGATAGTCAGACAGATGGACAGACGGACAGTTAGACAGACGGGCATACGGACAGTCAGACAGACGGGCAGACGGACAGTCATATAGACGGACAGACGGGCAGAAGGACAGTCATACAGACGGACAGACGGACAGTCGAACAGTCAGACAGACGGGCAGACGGACAGTCAGACATCGGACAGACAGACAGACCGATCTTAATAGATTACAATAAACCGCTGAGCTTAATAGAAGCTACATAGTTATTTAGATATTGCAGACACACACTTCATTTCTATTTATAGATAAAGAATATGTATTACAATACCTTTGTATTTAAAATAACATACTATCTTAAAATAAAGCTAATTTTTTTCCACATCAACGTCAGAAGTATAATCTAAATACATTTTACTACACTGAATACGATTTCAATTTAAACTCCTACGAGTGCAAATTTAAATGAGTTTTCAGAAACGCATGCGAAAGTAAGTTCTGTTTTTTAACCGACTTCAAAAAGGATGAGGTTCTCAATTCGACTATATGTGTTTTTATCTCTGCTTCCTCAGAACTTGATGAACCAATTTTGATGATTCTTTTTTTATTTCAATGCTGGTGCTTCTCGTGTGGTCCCAATGTGATCTAACCAGTAGTTTTTAAGTTATCCTTAACAATGCGTATTTAATTGACTTCGAATGCATATATGATGTTTTCGTTTCATTTATATTAAAGTCGGTTGTACAAATTTTTTAATTTCACTACCTGTTTCGACTTTGCATTATATTTAGAACTGCTTTATTTTCTTAGTCATTTGATATTGCACCATCGCAACGTTTGTTTTGGCGAAAGTAGATTATAGTTAAAAAGAACTCGTATAAATGTTTCGTCTACCAATGAAACGTTATCCATAAGAAACCAGATAATCATTTTCTTATTAAAATATCAGACATGTTATATTAAGAAATATTATCAGATTTCTTAATAAAAATTAAGTTAAAGTGAGAATAGACATAAAATGGCGCAGATATAAATACAATTATTTCAAATTAGTTCTTACGCCGCCGTAATGCAGTGTCGTCTCAACAACGAGTTACGGCGCTGAGCGCTACGGGTTCGAATCCAGCACGGCACAAATATTTGTATCTTTACTAGTAATTGCCCCGGGTCTGGCTACTATAATATTGTACTATAATTGTCCCAGGTCTGGACATTTGTGCTTGTGCAATTTATGTTTGTAAACAGCCTCCACGATGCAGGAGAAAATGCTGGGGTAACGTATTTCTTTAAAAAGAAAGTAAGAAAAGAAAGCGGCTTTGCTACAAGGGCTTTAGTTTAGCAACATCCGTAATGATACATTTTGTATAGAATACCTTAGGGTGACAAACAAAAACACAATCCACCTGATGGTAAGTGGATGCTGTGGCCCATATACATCTACATTTATCATCGATTAAGAATCAAAATGCAGATGCGTTGTCACCCCCGAGAACTAAAATGGAATGCCTCGTTTCCAGTAATAAAGGGTCTCCCGATCTTTACATTCACCATACGAGACACAACAGTATTAAGCTATTATTTTACGCTGGTATTCTTTGGGAGCGTCGTCCTTCCCCGGTCGAGCCGACCCATTCGTGCTACAATCATTACATAGCTACAGCGTGGGTCTACCACGTTTAAAAATGCCAAACCTGTGCTTAATGCTTAACCTGCCAAAATCAGTTTAATGGATTTTGTGAAATTATGGAAAATTTGCTAAATTCTGGGTGATTACTCTTTTTTGCCTGGGAGTCTGTATCACCTTGTTCTGTACTTCTGCCGCCGAATAAAAGTGTTTGCAATGCTATTGTTCCATTCTGAAGGGCTTAGACAGTGTATTTATAGGCAGTGAGATATTACATGTTTTTTTTTTTCTTTTCTTTCTTAGATATTTCAGTTTTGAGAGATGCCAACGCACCTGTAGCCTTTTTTATTTCAAAATGGCTGCAGGTGTCCTTGGACTGTAGAAGCCACATATATTACATGTGTGGTAATGTATAAAAAATAACTAGTTCTCCATCTAGGTCGGTCTACCATATTTCATTTACAATTACGTCACTTAGCTAGGCGTACTTTTAAAATTCAGTTGCAAAATTAGTAATCGGGGACTCCAAAAGCTCCGGGATAACAAAATTACAGGTGGATGGGAGTAACTAAGTTCTTGATCACCAGCTTAGATCCGCCATCTTGAATTTTTTTATTGCCAGTTCGAGCACCAGAAAACTATCTCTAATCTTTGCCGAGATATAACTCTTTAAAATTGACATGGCGACCATTTTGTTTTCCGTCTTTTTAGCCATGGTTATATTCCAGCTCCATCATTAGATATGTCATTATAATTATTGATATCGTCTGGACTATACTCGTAAGTGATCACAGTGTGTGTGTGTGTGTGTGTGTGTGTGTGTGTGTGTGTGTGTGTGTGTGTGTGTGTGTGTGTGTATGTGTGTGTGTGTGTGTGTGTGTGTGTGTGCGTGTGTGTGTGTGCGTGTGTGTGCGTGTGTGTGCGTGTGTAATGTGTACCATTGCCGAGCGGACGGAGGGCGTTGTGTTAGTCACATTTGTACCACTGTCGAGCGAACAGGTACAAAAATAAATCTCTCTGTCTGTCTGTCACATATGTTTTCAGCAACTATATCATGCAGATAAATTTAATTTTGCATAGATAGTGATAATATACAATCAGCGTTTAGTGACGTAAGAGAATCTACTACCAGTTTGCCAAGCGTGGCAACTATGGCAAATATTTCCCCAATGAGACAATCTATAGGAGATCCTTACATTCAGCAATGGACTTTGATAGCAGTAAATGATTGTCACAATATACTCCAAGTACCTTAATTAAAAAAGTGAATTTTTCATTATTGAATTATGCGTGAATTTTAGAGATGCTCTAAAGCAAAAATTGAATTTATCTTATATGTGTTATTCATAGGCATATGATTAACACATGTGAGATAAATTCAACATTGGTTGTGTGAAAGTGTAAATCTCTTGGAGTCTCCATCGTTATTTAAAATTATTTTAGTTTGACTAAATAACATTGAATTCACTGGCCTTTTAATTTAATGTTTTTTGGCGAAATTTGATCCATGCCCTTGAGCTTATTGATTGTCACCATGAAAAAGACGCTGTTATTTTATTTTTCTATTTCTTTGGAGTGTTACTAACACTTTTATCATTTTAAAGATTAAGCTGAGAACTAATCGTTAATACACGAGTAGAGACAGACAGATATAAATCCTAAAAATCACTAATTTGACCTTAGGATCTCTTGAAAACATCACAAAATATTTGAACTTCTTCTTCACGAAGACATGTGAAGGTCGTATATATGTTTATACGTGGTAGAGATTATAAGATTAAAGTACTTAGCTTTATGTGATGTAGAGAATGGATTACCTTAAATATTTTTATAGGCGCCACACGCACTGTAGCAACATATTTCTATACAACGATTTCAGAAATGACAGAAGGCCTATACCCAGCTGTTGTACTGTAGGCTGTATCTTTTTTTCCTTCTTTGATTACATAGGGTATAATCAAAGTTTTCCTTATTTAGCCTCTTTTACTTGTTTATTACAGAAAATATTAAAATTAAAAGTCCGACTGTTCAACATACATTTTGTGCATAGATATACATTATATACGTAACACTTACACAAGTTTTATATCAAGATTTTTAATTTATATTTCTAAATTAAGTAAAGACGTAACTGCTTATTCAAGAACAGCGCGTTAGATACAAAAAAAAAAACTTCAATGGACCGCGGCAATAGGGGCAACTTTAAAAAATATAAAAAAACTTAACAAAGGTTTGATAGAACGAGTGTGCGCAAAATAACGGGTTTGCAAC